CTAAATTGCACCGGAAACTTAAATTTTAAGAAAATGTAAATCGAGAACCGAAATAAATTTTCAGTTTCGGTCCAAATTGAATTTTTGGTTTTCGGTCGGTTCGGCTATGTCAACCGAAATTTTTGCACCCTAGCTCATTCAAGCTTGGAGATTATTCTCTATTTTCTTTTCCTTTTGTTTTTGTTTGCCTTCTCTTTCTATTCTTAAAGGAACTTATATGGTATTTCCCCTTTTTAGACATTTTTAATTTTTTAATAGATATATTAAACTAAAATTTTCTATTTTGATACAACGTAAGTATGACGTCATTGTTCTTGATTTTTATTCCATTTTAGTGCTTGTGTGTGCGTTTTGGTATATTACCAATTTTGGTTTTGTAACCACGTGAGCGCACGTGCGCACCTACATATGCGCAAATTTTTTATGGGCTTTTATAAGTAAAATAAGTTTTAATGGCTTTAATTACTAATTAGTGAACTAAACCATGTTTGCCTTCTGTTAAATCTAATTTATAGTCCTTTTTGTTAATTTACAGAAGTTAGGGGATGAATGATTAAATGCCCTTAATCCAAGCAACACGGTATTTTTTTCTGAATAAATAAAAATGAAACAGAAACATAACTTTTGTAAACACATATTGATAAAAAAAAATTACTCGAAACAACTAAATATGCACAAATTTTTGTATGATGCACTTGCTAATTTTTTATTTCCAAAAAAAAAAAAAATACATAATTTATGCTACAAAATGTTATATTTTTTATGTATGTTGTTTGTTAGGGGAAATGCCAAGGTCGGAATCATTCCATCGGGGTTTGTAACTGTTAATTATCATATAACCGTCAGAGATAGTTGATCTAACCGTTACAAATCCCGACGAAATGATTCCGTAATGGGACAGTACTCAGTAGCATCTTCCATTTGTTAGATTATGACATTTAAGTTTGTCTCTGTTGAAAAGTATTGCTGTGTGATCATTAGGCCTTCATAAAAACAGACTTACTAATTGAAAATGTGAGATTAAAGAAAGGAAAAAAAAGTATATATGTAAATATCTGACACAAAATATGTTAAGGATGAATGTTATAAAACACTTAAATACATTTGTGGTGGACTTCCAATTATATGGCCCCAACAAGAATCATACGTAGCTGGGCCCAAAGTAAAAGTCCATTTGATCATAGAATGTCCAAAACCCGGCGGGCCCAAAGTAAAAGTCCATTTGATCATTGAATGTCCAAAACCCGGCTCAATCCTTTCCATCTTCAACTTTTTTTGTCTTGAGTAGAATCGGCCCAGGATAGACCAAAGGCCGGTTCGTGAACTGGCCCGGTGGTTTAGAACCGAAAGAAAATTTTAAAAATAATAAAAAATTCCAATTTTAAATTAGAATTTCGACATCGAGATGAACCTGAACCAGACCGGATAAATTCACGAGCCGGTTCAGGGCTCGTGGTTAGCAGTTCGGACCGGGCCGATTCGGCGGTTCGGGCCAAACCGTGGCCACATAGTCTTGATTCTTGAAGTTTGATTTTGATAGGATTTTTAATTGACATTTCATGTTTCAAAATCATGCTATATATTCAAATTAGATAAATGATACGTGTCCACGATGATATCATAATTATATACGTGTCATGGTATGAAACAAACAATATTTTTTCTGAATTCGCTGCCCTAAATTCACTTATGTGAGTATTTCCCTTCTCCTTTTGAACTTTGGATTTGATGACCCATGTTTCATTTCACATGGAGCAATGACTAAATGCATGTCACATTTGAAGTTTCATATGTTTCAGATTGATTATCACCCAAACTCACAAAACAAAACAACACCACAACCATAACAAAAAATATAACAAGAAACCCAAAATGGCCCAATCTAATTCAAAATCTTTTTTTTTTTTTATAAAAAAAAACTAAGTTCCAAAACAAAAATTGCAAGAACATATAAAGTCTCAAGTAAATTAAGAACACCATCCTCACATTCCTACCAAAAACTCCTCCAAACATACCCTCATGGAAAAAAAAAAATAAAAAAAAAAC